GGCTTTCCGCCCTGTCCCAGAAATGGAACTAGTGGGGAAGGCTGGTTAGAATGCAGGCGGCTATTGGATGATGGAAAGTGTCAAGGCAGAGGTCAGAGGACTCAGGATGAGAGTTCTCAGCACTCTGCTTGAGAAGGGCGGACAGAGTTCCGAGGCTCGCCCAAGTGAACCAGGCTCTCTGAAGGAGCTGGGCCCTGTTTTGGCTCTGCCTGAGACAGGCCATGGCAGGCCTGGCTTCATATCCCGACGGTGGCTAGTGCCACCTGCCCAACACACTGCTTACTAGCGACCTCCTGACTCCAGGCATTGTTAATCAGTTACTCACTGGGATCTTAGAGATAATAGCCATCATGGGGAGTCTGGGACCACTGAAGGAGATAACCTACACACCACAGTGCGTGTTGACACTTTCGGGACCAAGAAACAAGAGAGCGAGCTAGTGCTCCCCTGGGAATGCTCAGAGGCAGGAGAACATGTCATGGATCTGGGGAAGCGCAGGGATGGACGGGGCTTTCAGAGCGGGCAAGCTCACCCAGTGCCGTGTGAGATGGCCTTATGTGGAATACAGCCAACCACTTTTCATTTTAATAATTGTGTTTATGTTATTGCACATTAACAAAACTATAACCAGCCCATCACAACTGGGATTTACATTTTAGGATGAAGTTACATAAAAGCAAGTTGATAAAAAAGATAGTGTAAAGACAAATACTAAATGACTAACACAGGGATGTGGCAAAATTGTGAAAGTGATCTGTTAATAGTGACAAGCTGTTCCCAGGCGCCTGGGACTTTCTTGGTTTGAGCGCTGAAAGTGCCAGGTCCCAGGAACTCTCTCAGTCCCAGGCAAATTAAGTCACTCGGTGACGTGTTTGAATGCCTGAGGTTTGGGCTATGCTGAATCCAAGCATTAGAGTCAAACAGACCTGTTCAACTCCTGGTCCAACACCCACTGCAGCCAAGCTTCCTGGCTCTTTGTAAGACTACAGAAACGGTAAGGAGCAAGCGAGAAACCTAAATTAGGGATCTGGGGTGGTCCATGGGATATAGTGGTTGCCTGATCGATTCAGTATTCATTCAACACATATTTCAGCACCAACTACATACCAGGCAGTGTGCTGGGTGTCCCAGACACCCCAAGGGACAAGCTTATATGATCAAGGAAGACAGTTAACAAGTACCTCACAAAGAGTGGCGACGTGGAAATGGGCTGATATTGGAGTGCACAGAGGGACATCTGGAGGAAGTGAAGTGCAACCCGAGCCCTAAACAAGGAGCCTCAAGGTAAGGGGCCTGGGAACACCCAGTTCTGGCAGAATGAAGGAAGGCCCAGTCACGAGAGCCAGTGCAGGCCGACCTGAGAAGTGGAAGCCACACAGCCCTAGGCCATGCCATGGGAGCCAGCCGGGGAGTTTGGATTCTGTGCTTAGGGCAATGGGAAGGCATTGGAGGAGCATGACCTCATTTTGGGCCATAATTGGAAAATGGATTCATCTGATTGAGTGCAGGGAAACCAACAGGAAGGCAGTTGCAGGACCTCAAGGCAGATGCTGACTTGGTTGCAGGGTGTAGCTACAGAAACAGGGAGGCATTTCAGAGACAGAGGCACGGGGACTTGAGGACTGATTGGACACAGTAGGGGAGGGAGAGGAGTCAAGGGTAGGTAGACAATTCACTGTGATCAGAACCGCCAAGAAAGAGCAGTTTGGGCATGTGAGGGGGTGGGGGTTGGGGCAGAACATTTTAAATTTGGCTTAAGATATGTGAAGTTTGAGGTGCTTGTGTAATGCCCAAATGGAGCTAGGAGGGGGTCTGGGCAGAGATCCCGGATGGAGAAGGGATTCTAGTATTAAATCATTTAACCTTCACCACATCATCAGGCAGGTACTATTCCCACCCCCATTTATAAGGACAAGGCAGAGGGGTGGACGGACAGGGTTCCAATAGGATAGATCTATATATTATTGTAACTTAATAAGAAAACATATAAAACCGGTGATTTCAAGTGTTGTGTTCTTTAATTTTTTAGGCTGAGAACTTTGTGTGCCTCTAGCCTTCATGAAGCAAGCATTTGAGCTTTTATGTCTGGTCAGTGCTATAGACAGTTGTGAGGGGAGCCAGCAGTTGCCCAAGTGGATCTACTGCTTCCCCACCCTCTCCACTCCCAGTACCCCCTCTGGCCTGACATTCCTATCATTAATCCAGAGCAGGGGCTTCCAACCTGAGGATTCCCAGAGGATCAATGAGCCCATGGAATTGTGTCCATATTTGCAAGACGGTCCCTGCTGTAAAACTAAATTAAGAACCAGTGGCGTTATTCAACAGTATATCTTGATTATAACAGTAGTCAGTACAACCTAAGTTTCCATGAATGGATGAATGGATAAAGAAAATGTGATAGATAGATAGATAGATGGATAGATAGATCTATATATATATATATATACACACACACACACACGCACACACATACATATATATGTGTATATATATACACACATATATACACATATACATACATATATATACATACACACACACACACACACACACACACACACACATATATAAACGGATGAATGGATAAAGAAAATGTGATATATAGATAGATAGATGGATAGATAGATCTATATATATATATATATACACACACACACACACGCACACACATACATATATATGTGTATATATATACACACATATATACACATATACATACATATATATACATACACACACACACACACACACACACACACACACATATATAAATGGAATAATATTCGGCCATGAGAAAGAAAGAAATCCTGCCATTTGTGGCAGGCAACACGAATGGACCTCGAGGGCATTATGCCAAGCAAGATAAGTCAGACAGAGAAAGACGAACATCATGTGATCCCATGTGTGGATTCTAAAGAAGCTGAACTCATAGAAACAGAGATTAGGATGGAGGTTTGCCACGGGCTGAGAGTCGGGCAATGGGAGAGTTTGGTGAGAAGGTTCAGGCTTCCAGCTATGAGATGAGTAAGGTCTGAGTATCTAATCTAATGTGATTCTTCCTTTTAAATGGTAAAAACTTTTGTAAAGAAAAAAAAAAAGAACCAGTGGTGAGCCACTTGAGAGCTTCCTAGGGCATGGGTGGGACTTTCCTATGAACACCTACTCTTACTGTCTGCCAGCTAGGTGGTACTCAGGGCTCTCAGAGGGAAGGGACCAGCGGGATTTGGGAACCTGTCAAGAATGTGGAGAGATCACTCTGAGGCAGGAAATCTTGGCTGCCACCCAGGGAAGAGAAAAGGGGCTGTCCCAGGACCTCCGGGGCCCTGAAGAATGGCAGAAGTATGTGGGACCTTCCAGATCCATGCTATGGTTTTCTCTTTGAGGTTTTGCTTGGAGCCAAGAGGGTTTAAAGTGCATAAGCCTCTCTTGTGGAAATTCTGGACCCAGGGAGGAAGGGCCTCAGGGGTGCAGCAGAAAATGGGAGACTACTCTTTGTGGCACAGGAAGCCAAGATTAACAGTGCTGAGGGAAGTAGCCTAAAGAGACCAGTGGCATAGTACCCTGGAAGCCAAGACCCAAATTCTGGCCCCTGGCTGTGTGACCTAGGGCAATGTTGCTGGACCTGTTTTCTGATCTCTGTTTTGAGCTGGGACCAGGTTTTCTTGAAAATCTATTTCTGCACCAACATCCTAATTTCCTAATTTGAGCATGCAAGTTAGCCCTTATGTTTGCATGGGGCACTTGGTTACGGAGGGCTAGGGAGCGCCCCAGGGCACACGTGGGCAGGGGCGACCCTGCTGTGGAGAGAAGGGCTGCTCTGCACCTCTCTAGGTCCCAGATAGAGGCTCGGAATCTAAGTACAGTTGGGTTGGACGACCGCTGGGACAGATCACCCTGAGACGGACCACCACTGTGCCACCGAAACAACCTCGAGTTCCTCTTCTTGGGCTTTACGACCCTGAGCTCTGCAGTCACCCTTTTCGTGCCCCCCGTCTTTCTGCTGGCTACGAAAGTCCTTTCTGTGGAGCATGGTTCATTTGCGGTTGTTCTGGTAACCATTCCCTTCCTTTTGGGGAACTGAAGCCTTGTCAGGTGGCCTGCCCTGAGGCCAAGGTTTGGGCACACAACTCAAGGCCCCCGTCGAAGCTCCCTGCCTGCAGTGGGAGCAGTAGGCAAAGGCCAGGCTGCTCCGACCAGGGACAAGTCCACACTTCCTCCCCATCCTCCCACCTTCCTGTTGGTTCAGAGCTTCCCATATCTTTACAATTAGTCATTTTGCTTAAGTTAGAGTGACTTTGGTTCCTTATTGCCAAAAGTCCCTTTTAAGAGAGCTTCCGGCACTGGTGACTGAGCCCAGGTTCCCGCCTCTCCCCATACACCTCCGAAGAGCCTAAGAAAAGCTCCTTGGTTTCCAAGGCCCAATGCTGCCTATCTGGAGAGTGAGGGGAGAGGGGAAGATGAGACGTCTCAGAAGCCTTGCCAACATCATATGGTGCTACCTGACTGCCCAGCAGAAGTCCTGAAAACACCCTGGCAGCACTGTTCTCCCCTGGGATGGCACCATGCAAACCTGGAGAAAGTTCAGGGGGTGTGGGCATGAAGGGAAGAAGACAGGCATCTACCTACCCTCTACCAGACGCTGCACCGCACTCCGAATGTATCATTTCAGACAAAGGCATGGAGGCACAAGTTAAATAATTTATTCAAAGTTTCGGAACTATTAAATGTAGAGCTATGTTTCTACTGACCACATGGCTCCTGGGAATGACCACTGCGCCTTCCAGGATATATAGCATATGACCAATGAGGTTCTTAAACTTTCAAAATGCCTCTTACTCCCAAATTCACACCAAACGTACTAAAATGCACACCAAAACCTGTGGTGCTGCTTCTGTTCACTCCTTGGTGTTCCTATTAACTGATCTAACGATGCTTTTGAAGACAGGAATAAGCCCGCATGCAGGCATTACACTTCCGAGAAACTGAGACAGCTCGTAAAACCGTGTTTCACAAAAGCTTTATTTGTGGTCACATCTACAGTTGTCATTTCAGAATACTAACAACTCACAGTTCAGTGCAGTGCTTCTAACACAAGTCATATAAAACCGTGGGATACATTGAATGAATAGTGCACGTGATATAAAAATAAATTATACTTTAAAAGTTACTGCAGAGCTTTACACATATAAAAAGTAAATACGAAATAGTTAGTGAGGTCCTCATAACTATCTATCATATCCAGATATGAAGATAAAAAGAGCAAGGACTCTGTGCTAAGACACCTCTCTGATAAAGAGAAATCCTGGGAAGTGACAGAATTATTGTCTCAAGTATGTAATAAAGAGACATACGGATCTTCTCCTGGAAATATTCATGGCTCTATCATCACATTAACACAGCGGAGTTGGGCCCAGAGCCCATTTCTATAATCCAGACAAATCTCTTCAGCCTGGGGGCTGATAGGTAAGAAAAGCTTCCAACTTCCTCTTGATCATTCAAGAACCAGAGTATTTAAATTTTTGAGAGGGAAAAAGACAAATAATATAGAAATGCACATTCTTCAGTCTGCAAAAGATTCCAACTTTTTAAGTAAGTACAAGGCTAGGGCAAGATTAATCGGAAACTGGTGAGGAGACCTCACTAAGACTGTCTGAGAGCTGGGCACTCACGACTGCATCTTGTCCGTGTATGACGGAGGCTGCCCACGTCTAGAAATGGCAGGTGCCCCCAAGTGACAGACGACGCTGCAGAACCTATCTGAATACCTGTGTGACTTGCCAGGGGACCACCCTACTAATCTAGAAATCTTGAGATCGAGAATCAGCACCTATTTTTATAAATAAAGCTTTACTGGAACACAGCCATGCCGCAGCATATACTATTACTGTCTAGGCTGCTTTTGCACTGCCACAGCGGAGCTGAGTAGTAAAGTATTAACTATCTCTGCCCTTTACAGGAAGTTTGCTGACCCCTGCTGTAAAATGAGAAGACAAGACTTTGCTTCTCAAGACCTTTAGTTATAGAAAAAAAATTAAAGATTTTTCTCTATGTAAGTGACTGCCAAGTAGTTCTGCTCTAACACCTGAGCTTTCATTCTGGGCCTTATCTCAGAGAAGACAGAGGCAACAATTTTAGTTAGAAGTGAGAAGCATAAGAGGATGAGCAGACAAGATGGAAGAACAATTCAGGGCTTTCATCCTGGATTGTCCAAAGAACATCTGTGCTTATGCAAAAGCTGATTAAAAAAAAAGTTAGTTGACAATAAGAAATATTTTTTTAAAGAATTTTTCTTAAAACAACATGAACATTTAAGGAAAGCTGCTAAAGGTACATCTAAATTTATCAAGGTCAAAGGAACCTAATCATTCTTTTGTACATTAGTGTTTCCACAAGGGCAGGAATGGAAGACCAACCAGTCCTTCCCATGTATACTACTGACAAATAGTAAGAAGTAGGATTTCATTGATTACAAGTTCTGAAGAAGAGTCTAGGGCAGAAAGCTGAAACCTACCAATCTTATTTTACACCGCCATGCCAACTCTCCCTTCCCCTACCAGGGCTGGAAAGTGGCCTGATTTGAGGTTCATGTCCTTTCTGCTCTCTCAAGGCCTGCAGCACTCCAGCTACGACAGGGCGCTGTGCTAAGTGTTCTCACAGCAAACCATTAGAAAGTGGAGGCAGCAACACCCCTCAGACCAACGAGGCAATGGCAAGAGGACAAAGGAAGCGCTTGCCTAAAATCCGCTCACAGTCATCAGTCCTATCATCGTTGTTAATGAGTTACCAGAGTAAAATCTGGTCCTGGAAAATCGGGAAAGTAACCACTGAGTAGGTGAGCCTGTGGCTAAGGCAGCGTTCTGTTAGTTTTTGCTGACCTGGGTCTTATCTCAGCTGTAAATCCCCTCCAAGCTGCCTTCCAATGGAGGAATGCTATCAGCTTTCTAGCTGGAGTGCTGAAATAAACTATTATTCTTGCTCTTTTCAAACATGTTCTCACTACTCCTAATTAAACATTGCCAATATTTCTTTTTAGCTCTATTGTACTTTTGCATGGGAACCTCATCTAAATATAGAAAAACTTCCTGCCCAACCAGGTCATTTTGAATAGCAAGTAGAGCTATTTTATCTCATCTGAGGATCAGACCTTTACTTAGTTTATCAGATGGTTTAGATGTGCAGGTGGATTCTAATCTTTGGAATGCGGTCCTATGACCTGAAGGTCACCCGCCTGTAGTGCTTCCACAGCTGTCCCTCTTTCCGCTTCAGTGTAACCAGCCTGCCTTCTTATCCAGTATCATCTCAAATCTCCCTCTGCTAGCATCCCTTACTGCCCTTACTGACTCATGCATGCTTCTCTCTCTTCATAGACTTTTCCCCTTCCCCGACATGTTAAGATATCCTCAGCCCTGCCCCTCCCTCCTCTCCATTCGCAGATGAGCAGAACAAGATGAGTGTTACAGCAGCTCTGCAATGGCACCAGCAGCAGATATGACAGGAAAGGTATACTTGACAGGTACCTAATTTGTCAGGGCTAATCCATCATTAAAGTATTAATTTCCATATTTATCACTTCATGTCAGGACTTGAGATGAAATTTCCCGTTAACTTGAGATTCAAATGAACTTTAAGAAAGTCCCTATTGATATTGTGACTGGCAAGGTTACAGAATATTTTTAACAATACCTAAATTTTAGAAAGTTTAAAATGAGGATGAGAAATTTAGGCCTCCCAAGATAGTAATGCCTTAACTGTTCTGTGGTTGGAAGCACAACTTTAACCTTTCAGTACATTTAGGGTTGTTGGTACACTGAAAATTTGATGTCCAGTCCAACATGTCGTGGGTCAAACCCCTGGTTCTAGGTGTCATTTACAGCTGCAAGAAAATTTGTTTTACAATTGAGAATTGGCAAGAGCTCCACCAATGAAATTCACAAGCTTAGCATAATGGCTAAGGGGAGCAGCCAGCAAGAAGTGCTAACTTTTTTTCCTTCAGCAAAACTGTTTTGTGCAAAAGTGGTTTCCAACCTCTACAGCTCTCTGGGAAATGATGCAGATTAAAATTCCTGAGCTTTCTGGTCAGACACTAGTGTGTGTTTTCCTGAGCATGATTATGCTACAGGGAGCCCAGGATAGTCTAAACCAAGGAGTTTTAAAGATCATAAATTGGATGGTCTTTTATACTGAGCAGCATAAATGAGCACTTAGTTACATCCACATCACAGGGCAGAAAACTAAAAAACAAATTCCAGGAGATATAGTTTTAATATCAGTCCTTGACAACAGGGATTAACAACGACTTTTCCAACATTGTTTCCACATCATCCTCATTCCCAACAGCAACTGAGGTTTACCTTATGCATTCAAAAGCTTTAAAGATAAAGCAGTATCTGGATGTTGGGATTGCAGGTGGTTATTTTTATACTTTTCTCTATTTTCTTTAATGAGCAAACACTACTTTAGCATCTAGAATTTTTTGTACAGAATAAAAGTGATGAGGAAATTCTAGACAATTTTTAAAACTAACATAAAATTTCTAATGTAATGTGAGATGAGTTCTTTCAGTGTGTTGTATATAGTTTCAGACAAGGCAGGTGTTCAAAACACAAAATCGACCCTACCCGATTCCCCATTTCTGTCCTGGCATTTTTATTTTGTTCAGTTTATAAGCTCTAAATTTATTCAGCTTATGTTAAAAAGAAATAGAGCCTATGTCCCAACAGGTACCAATACGAAGCAGTGACAGCCCCAGAGACTACTGTGCTGCTCCTTCATTACCTGAGTCTGTGAAGGCCTGCATTCCCCATCTGGCTAAGGAAGAAGTGTGGGGGCCTGCGGTAAATGCCTCAGGGTTTCTTCAACCTACTGTTGCCCTTTCCAAGCTGAAAAGTTGCAGAATATGTGTGGTGCATGTGAGTGCTCCCTGTGGGAAAGCAGGGCTAAAAATATGACAGGCAATTGACTTCCCCATAGGTCTTCTCAAGGTTTATCTTACCTTGATGTAAACCTGAAGCATTAAGATAGCCAGTCTAGTAAGAAGTCAAAAGTATAAGTGATATTTGAAAACCTTCTGTATTCTAAACTTCTCTTTAGTAATTCTTGCAAAAAACCTAGCACTTAATCTACCTATATAATTGTCTTCATTATTTTCATAAATTTCTGATTTCCAGGTAATGCATGGAAAGCGCAATTTCTCTAACAGGCATTCAGGTCAAGCACACTCACCCTGATACTAGAGAGAGAAATAACATTCAATAGGCTGTTGACTACCAGAGACGGCCATCATGGAGACATTATGAAAAATTATAACCACTAGGTGGAGCCAAGAGTTTGAAGGAAACCACAGGGAAAGTAATTCCCTTATTTCAGGAATTTAAAACTTTAATAAAATTAAAGAAAGTAAAAGACCAGATATCTTCATTTGGGAAAATATGCAGTGTAATTATACCTTTCCAGTTGGACGGAAAATGTAGCTGTTTTTTTCATGGAGTCGAAGTCGAATCTAGGAGAACTTTTTTACCCAATGAGTAAAAGACAAGCTCCTGAATCCAACAGGTTTCAGTAGAAACTGATTCCAGGATGGACTGCTGAAGAGTGCTAGGCATTCCAGTTACAGGTAGGGAGGAGGCGATCCCTTAGAGCTCAGTTGTCAGTAAACACTTCTGCTTCAAGATGGCTTCTTCGGCCAAAGTTGGTGCAGAGCTGAAAGGAAGTAAGAATGGGTTATTCAGTGAAGCCATTTGCGATGAAAGCAACATACACTTCTCCACAAGTGCCACAGAGAGCATTTTGAGAGTAAATTATAGGCCTAATGACTATGTTGCAATACCTAATTCAGCAGTGAAGTATTCCACAGAGGGAATTTTCTAGCTAACTGATGTGTATTTCATCTTGAAATGAAATCTAAAGATATCAACTTCCCTTACTTCCTTGGATAAAATATACCAGACACTTAACCATTTCTTAGTGAGTTAAGGTTATTATTATGAATATTGAGTATAGTGCTGAGCATGACAGTAACCTGCTTAGGAAATACCAAGGTAAGTAGGCTGTTCTGTGCTTCTTTACGTAGACTCAGATGGTGGTGTTTAAGCTCCTGTACCAGTTAATCTGCTTTGTTAGAGCTATGTGAAAAATAAAAGTATATGGGCTTTGCATGAAGGCCCAAAAGTTTCTGCTGTAGGTGAAGAGTATGAATTTAGATGCAAGGATGTAAGGACATCTCTTTTGGTTTCAAAGAAACTTCGCATCAAAATATATAGTGAAAAAAACATCGCTGACCATTGAACAACATGGGAGTTAGGGAATGCTGACACCTGCATAATTGAAAATCTTGTATATAACTTTTGACTCCCCAACAACTTAACTACAGCCCCGCAGTATCCATGAGGGGTTGGTTCCAGGACCCCTGTGGATACCAAAATCCGCAGATGCTCAAATCCCTCATGTAAAATACTGCAGAACAATGCATATAGTTGGCCCTCTGCATATGTGGATTCTCAGTCCTAGATGGAAAATACTGTCTTCTATCCATGGTTGGTTGAATTGGGGATACAAAACCTGGGAGATACAAAGGGCTGACTGTGTATTTATTGAAAACAATCCAAGTATAAAGTAGACCCATCCAGTTCAAACCTGTGTTGTTGAAGGGTCAACTGTAGTTTAAAATGTCAAAAGTATTAACAAAATTTATAAAAGAAACAGCGGTCATTTGCACCACCCTTTCCATGTCTACTACCTAAAGACACTTTCAAGTTTTTTTTCCTGGTATTTTTCCTACACTTTTCTGTATCTTTGGTTCTCAAAGTATAGTCCCTAGAATCTGTTATAAATGCTGATTCTTAGACACCACTCCAGGTATACTGAATCAGAGACTCTGAGGGCAGAGCCCAGTAACCCGTTTTAACAAGCCTTCCAGCTGATTCTCATGTACAACTAACAACAGTACTAACTGTTCTAAGTGATGTATTTCTCCAATGACCTCCTACTATAAATCATGAAAGATTAACGTTTTTACACTCCACTCACCAGCCCTACAATTCTTCATTTTTAACTTTTCAATGGTTATATGAACAATTTTGATCATGTTAATATTCCATGTTTGTTGTAATCATGTAAATATTTTCACAACTATTAGTATATTGTGAGTATTTTGTATAGTTTGTGTCCTCTGGACTCAACAACTGCCTCATTTTTTGTTGTAAACTGCTTGCCCAGTTTTCTATACTTGTTTCTAATTTATTCCTAACCTCAAAGATAGAAACATGGATCTCTTCTCAGTACATTCGGGCATGCCATGTAATTTTTAAAAATGAGTGGGCCATGTGTTTTTTTTCCTTGGCAATATCCTTCCTGGAACTCTTTATCCTCTTTGAATCTTTACGGCATGCTTCCTAGACCTACTGAGCAGCTGCCACCTTGGAAATTCTCTTCACCTTCCTCCTGGTAAATTCCTGCACTTCTCTGTTTCCTGGGTCCCATGTCGTCTTCTTTCTTGGATAATCATCTCGTTTTGATGGAATGAACACATACTCCAATAAATAGCTTCCTAAGGAAGGCTGCATGAGAAGTGTATACTTTAGAGAAACTCTGTATTTTTTCTGCTCTCACATTTCATTGATAGTTTGGATATAAAACTAGGTGAAAGATGATTTTCCTCAAGAATTCTGAAAGCATTGCTCCATTATCTTCTTGCTTTTAGTAAAGTATGCTGTCATTCTTGATTTCCAATCCTTTGTATGTACTCTACCCACCCACCCCCTGCCTGCCCAGAAGACTTATATCCTCTCTTAACTTTGATATTCTGAAATTTCATGATGTTCCTTGGTATTGTCTGTTTTCACTCTCTGTGCTGGGTACTCAGTAGGTACCAGTTTTAATCTAAAAACTCAAGTACTTCTGGGAAATCGTGATTCCTTAACAATTTCTCACTTTCATTTACTCTATTCTTTCTGGATCTCTGATGATTCACATATTAGACTTCCTACACTGATCATCAAATTTTCTTTTCTCTCCCAGTTTTCATCTTTTTGTCCTAGTTTTTGGGACATTTCCTTAATCTTATCTTCCATGCATTCTTAGGATTTTTTTTTTAACATGATTAATTATTTCTAAAAATACTTTTTCTGTTCCTTTGCTTTTTAACTTCCTTTTATTGCACAGATGTAGTGTCTTCTGCCTTATGATACAATTGTTTTGTTAAGTTTTTGATACTCACATTGCCTTATTTCCTCCATTTTTAGTTTACCTGTTTTGGTCTTTCCTCAAACATCTGATAACCTTTGGCTCTCTTCATATTTAAGAGAAGCACTGGAATGCTGTTTAGAAACTGTACATATGGGCAAAAGTTATAAACTAATGGACTTCCAGGTAGAATTATTAGGTAAATTTCTTGGCAATTTAATCAGAGGATCCCTCAGCCATAAGAAGAGATAAAATACTGCCATTTGCAACAATATGGATGGACCTTGAAATAATCATACTAAGCAAAATAAGCCAGACAGAAAAAGTTGAAAATCACATGATATCACTTATATGTGGGATTTAAACCCAAAAGCAACAAATGAACAGGACAAACGAACAGGTACTCATGGACACAGACTATAGACTAGTGATTACCAGAGGGTAGAGGGTAGTGGAGGAGGAGGGAGGAAGATGGGGTGAAAGCGGTCAAATATAGGGGGGTAGGGGGATGGTGAAGTGGGTAAAGGAGATCAAATATATGGTAGCTGAAGGAAACTGGACTTTGGGTAGTAAACATACAATAGGAAATACAAATGTGAAATCATAATGTACACCTGAAAATTATATAATTGTATTAATCGATGATACCCCAATAAACTTAATTAAAAAAATAAAATAAAATAAAGGGAGAAAAAAACACTGAAAAAAAATAATCATCAGGGAATCCACAAACATTATCCTACAGGCCTTTCTCTTTGGTTTGTCAGTTTCTGTAAAGAATAATGCTCTTAATTTCTCACCTGAGACATTTATACTTGGCCAACGGCACTCTGGAAACTGAAAAAAGAAGGAAGGTTGGATGTCTCACCCTTTAGTTTGTGGACTTTGAATTAACCTTCTTGTTTTCAGTTTGGAGGCTTACTCTAAACAAACTCCCAAATCCACAACCTCTCTGGCCCAGCTCCTCCAGAGGGAAATCTCCAGAATCATGTACACACCCAATAGAAATACAAATATATGTCCCTTAAAAGACATGTACAAGAATGTTTATAGCAGCTGTATTCATAATAGTCCAAGCTGAAAACTTGCCAAAAGCCCATTAGCAGTCAACTAGATAAATACTAGATTAGAGCAACAAGTCCTCGTTCTTAGTCCCATCTGTACCCCTAACCTCACAAATATCTGGTACCTCCAATTCCTGAGCCTCTCCAGAGTTCTGCAATGTGACTTGGCTTGCTTTTTATTTTCTCAGTTCCTACCCTCCTCCCTTTTCAGGTTTAGATTTCAGTTTTCTTTTCTCAGCTAAATTGCTTACTACTTACCATTTATCTACTTTCAAAACTTGTTGAGGTTTCTCGTTTGCTCTTATCTCCCCTCTTGTTCTTTGTCCTTGTGATTTTATACATTTAAATAAAATTTTACAGAGAGAATATCCAAAGTAAATCTAAATTTGTAAAGATGCAATCCAGTCATCATTTTTAAAAAACATTTTATTGAGTAGAACATAGATATATTGAAGTACATAAATCATGAGTTTACAGCTTGATAATTTTTTGCAAATTGAACACACCTTTGTAATCGGCATGTAGATCAAAAAAACAGAAAATTATGAGCACTCCAAAAGTCCCTTTTGGGCTCCCTTCTAGTCACTAACCACGTCAAAGATAACCCTTATTTTGATCTCTAAGAGTTGTGCCTCTTTTTGAACTTTATTTTGCTAACATTATGGTAAGGAGATGCTATGATGATCCCCAAAGATCTCCACGTCCTGGATTTACACTCTTACGCAATTTCCTCCCCTTGAGTATGGGTAGAGCTTGTGATTTGCTTTAATCAACAGAATACAGCAAAGCTTGCTTGCAGACTCTACTGCCTTCTTGGTTTACTAGCTTTGATGAAGTAAGAAGTTATTGTGGAGAGGTCTGTGTGGCAACGACTGGGGTCAGCCTCAAGCCAATAGCCAGCTAAAAACGGAGAACCTCAGTTTAACAGCCCTTTGGAAACTGAATTCTGCCAACAACCACAACTGGAGACCCTTCTCCAGTTGAGTCTTCAAATGAGAACCTAGCCTTGGCCACCACCCCGATTGTAGCCTGTGAGAACTTCTGGAGCAGAAGACTCAGGAACACTGTGTCAGATTCCTGTCCCACAGGAAATAAGATTATAAATGCGTGTTGTTTTAAAATGCTAAAGTTGTGATAATTTGTTATACAACAACGAATAACTAATATAAATATGTTTATAGATTTGTCTGTATTGCCATACTGCAGTTATAGTTTGTTAATTTTCACTGCTCTAGTCTAGCATTTAGTTGACTACTAATGGGCTTTTGTCAAGTTTTCAGTTTGAACTATTATGAATACAGCTACTATAAAAAGTCTTGTACATGTCTTTTGATGGACATATATTTGCATTTCTATTGAGTGTGTACAGAAGAAGAGAATCACTGAAATACTGGGTAAGTTTGGCTTTAGTAAATACTGCCAAACCTATTTCCAACATGGTTATTCCGATTTACGGAATTCCAGTTGTCCCATATCTTTATCAACACTTGGTGCTACGTGTCTTCTTTACATTTTAGCCATTCTGGTGGTATGTAGTGGTATCACATGGTGGTTTGAATTTGTATTCCTCAATGACTAGTCAAGCTGCATACTGTCTTATATACTTATTGGCCATCTGGATATTCTCTTGTGAACTGTGGAGTCAAGTCTTTTGCCAATTTTCTTATTGATTTATAAGAGCTCTTTATATACACTGGATATGAGTCCTTTGTTGGGGGCAGTGAGAGGAAGGG